CTGATACTTGTCATATAATTTCTACCAAAGTCTAGATGTACTTATTTGATCTACGATCTTTCGCAATATTCTGTCTGTCAAACTCAATAGAATAAGGTTATACAATCTTTCCAAGATATCCATCTTCCTTTCAGCCACCATGTCCTTTGGCAATTTTCTCCTCTAGTGCTATTGCATGATGTGACCTTGGACTCAGGTTTCTGTGAGCTCTGGAACAGGTGATCTCATTGTTCCTGCAAAGTCACAAAGGAAAGAAGGCCGTCATCCGTTTCCCGGGAGGAGCTCCCAGAATGGCGCTCCGATGGTCAAGTCAGTTGGATGTTTCTAGGGTTTTTTGGGGTATTACTTGGAGAAGGCGACTTACCTGTCATGTAACGACCCAAATTTTACAAAGAAAATTTTCATTTTTAATTAGTAAACACACTTGCATAAACCTTGAAATTCCAACATAATTGTTTTCAAATCCACATTCATTATAGCTTTGTTTAAATCATCAAAGTCTCCTAAAACATATTAGTGAAAAAGAGAGTGGGAGGTACATATCCCAGCTCCCTCCAAAATCCACATTCATGATAACTATTATTATACATAATTGTTTTCAAATCCACATTCATGATAACTATTATTATACGAAAACTCTGCTACTGGGAGGTACATATCCCAGCTCCCTCCAAAATCCAGAACGCTTACTCGAAGCATGTCCTCCCGTGTCTGGATCATCCTCCCACTCTGACCGTCAGTCTGAGGGTGGTACGCCGTACTGAAATGCAGCTGAGTTCCCAGTTCCTCGTGAAACTTCTATTAGAACCTGGAAGTGAACCGAACATCCCTGTCGAAGACTAAGGACACGAGAACACCGTGTCTAGCCACGACCTCACGTACATAAATGTATACCAAGTTCTCCACGGATATACTCTCGAAAATTGGAATAAAGTTGGCACTCTTTGTCAGCTTGTCCACGATCATCCATATAGCATCCAATCCCCTCGCCGTCCTAGGTAACTTTGTGATGAAGTCCATGGTGATCTCTTCCCACTTCCACATGGGAATGGGTAATGGTTGAACCTGGCCATGAGGCCGCTGATGCTCGGCCTTGACCTTCCTGCAGGTCAAGCACCACTCTATGAACCAAACGATTTCCCGCTTCATTCAGGGTCACCAATAACTCAACCTCAAGTCCCTACACATTTTTGTATCTCCTGGGTGTATAGAGAACTTGGACTTATGTGCTTCCTCTAATAACCTCTGTCTTACTCCCCTGTTACTGGTACCCATACTCGGCCACACCGAGTCAAAAGGCTCGACTATCCTTGATGAACAAAGGATAATGTCCCCGAATTTTCTCTATCTTCCAGTTCTTCTTCTTCGCTCCTCAACCTGGGCCTCCCTGATCATATCCAACAGAGGATAAATCACCGTTATCCTCATACAAATGTCCCTAATCGGGGACCCTGCCGTCTTGCGGCTCAATGCATCGTCCACCACGTTGGCTTTCCCTAGGTGGTATAGAATCTCGCAATCATAATCCTTCAGCACATCCAACCACTTCCTCTGTCGCATGTTGAGGTTCTGCTAATCCATCAGATACTTCAGACTCTTGTGATCAGTATATATAGTGAACCGCACTCCATATAAATAGTGCCTCCAAATCTTTAGGGAAAACACCACTGCATCCAATTCCAAGTCATGAGTGGGGTAATTCACCCTATTGGGCTTCAATTGTCTCGAGGCGTAAGCTATTACATGCCCCCTCTACATCAATACCGCACCTAACCCTGAGATCGACGTGTCGTAGTACACTACCAAATCATCCAACCCCTCAGGTAGTACTGGAATTGGAGCCTCACATAACCTCCTCTTTAGGGTCTTAAAAGCCATCTGCTGATTTGCACCCCACCGAAAAGTCAAAATTTTCTTGGTCAAGCGGGTCAATGGCACAACAATCTTGGAGAAATCCTGAATAAATCTTCGATAGTAGCCTGCTAATCCCAATAATCTACGAATCTCTGATGCATTCTTCGGTACTTCCCACCACATTAAAGCCTCAACGTTAGCTGGGTCAACCAAAATACCCTCCTAATTGATGACATGCCCCAAAAACTGTACTTCCCACAGCCAAAAATCACACTTGGAGAGCTTTGTATAAAGTTTCTCCACCCTCAGGGTCTCTAATACCTCCCTCAAATGCTGCTCGTGCTACTCCCTGGTCTTAGAGTAGACCATGATATCATCGATAAAAACAATCACTGACCGATCAAGCATCGGCCTACACACTCTGTTTATGAGGTCCATGAATGTTGTTGCGGCGTTGGTGAGCCTGAACGACATCACCACAAACTCAAAGTGCCCATACCGAGTTCTGAAAGCCGTCTTCAGTATATCCTCAGTCTAGCACATCTTGAAGCTACATGAATAACTCCTGCATCTCCGGTGGTGCCAACCGATATGGCGCCTTTGCTACCGGAGCAACACCCGACACCAAGTCAATGCAAAACTCCACCTACCTCTCCGGAGGCACTCCTGGTAACTCTTCGGGGAAAATGTCCCAAAAATCCTTGACAACTGACACACTGCCCACATTCGTCGTGGTCTCTACCCTCGTATCCGAGATGTAAGCCAAAAATTCCGTGCAACCCTGTTGTAAAAACCTCCTAGCTCTCACAGTCGAACAGAGGATCGGTCCCTACGAGGCCCTCTCAACATGAATAACTAGTTCTCCCTCACTTGGGGTTCGAACCCTCATCAACTGGCGCTCACAATCAATCATGGCCCCGTTGGCCCCCCAACTAGCCCATCCCGACAATCACTGTCGACCCTCGCAATGGTATTAGAACTAGATCAACATGTAACCTTTTGCCCAACACATTCACGACCCATCCCTGACACACCCTCGCAGCACTAACAGTGCGGTCTTCTGCAATCTCTACCTCGAGCGGGGAATCTAAGATCCTCGGCGTGTCCCTGAACTTCTTGCTAAGAAAAACTGACACAAATTATCGGGTAGCACCCGAATCAAACAAGACATGAGCAGGCATATCATTGACCAAAAAGGTCCCTATACAATCGTAGAATACATATAAGTCTCATAAATCATAATGAGCATAGAATAATAGATACATACCAACCACAACATCTGGTGCTGGCCGATCCTCTTCGGTGGTCAATTGGAATGCGCGACTCTTCACCATCGGAACATCCGCCTTGGCAGGGCAGCCATCGGTAATCCTTAGTGTGGAAAGCGCGGGCGCTACCACTGCTCCTCCCCCTCCCTGCAACTTCGGACAACCGCCCGCTTGTGGCCGGTCTGGTTGCAGTGAAAACACATCAAGCCCTTCTTGGGGAAGTCCCTACTCACTCGGCCTGACTGATCACATGTATAACATGTCGTGCCCTGTCCCCTACAAGCCCCCATGTGACCTCCCACACTTGGCACACCGACCCCAGCCCTGCTGGGCCCGACTAGATGAATCCGAGGTCTTTGGCTTTTTAGTCTGACCTACTGCTGCCTGGGCCTGCTCAAGCTTCCGCTTCGTGCAGAAGTCTAACTCCATCTCTCGCTCATGGGCCTTTTCCACCATCTCATTCAGGGTTTTGCACTCCGTAAAGCTCACAAACTCCTGTATATCATCCCTCAGCATGGAATGATATCGGGTAAGCCTCAAGTTCTCATCAGTAGCATACTGCGGAATCAACAAGGCTCGTTCCTAAAACTTGGCGATGATCTCCGTCACAATCTCGGTGGTCTGCTGCAAGTCATGAAATTCCCTCACCGATCGTTGCACCTCAATAGGTGGTTCAAACTACGAATCGAATCGCTAAACAAACTCATCCCATGTCGTCTCTGCTACTCTGACTGACCTCACCTGGCTAGTAACCTCGCCCCACCAATCTCGGGCCCTATCCCTCAGCATACACAAAGAAAACCCAACCTTTGCCGCACCCGGACAGGAACTCGTGCGCTGGGCATTCTCGATATCTGCTACCCAGCGTTGGCTGACGATAGGGTCCTTGACCTCGAAAAACTCCAATGCCCCACACGCCTTGAACTCCCGAAACAAGGGAGTTCAGGATTTCCATATAAGGTATCCACCTGCTCTAAATATCGTTACACTTAAATATAATTGGTGATATAAATCATCAACATCTCTTACACATTTTTTGTACTAAAAGGTCTTGGTTTTCGGTTATTTCCGGTTCTATGACAATGAGCCAAGTATTTTTGGTTATAACTGTATCCTTAACCAATATAACCGGCCCGAACCCAAAACTGAACAGGAACCAGTTCTTTTATATAGATCCAATATTTGTTTTTAGAATTTGTAACTTTTGATTTTTGATTACTTCCGGTACGGGACCAAACACACCCCTACGTAATTTTACTAACATTGATAATAATTTTACTAACATTGATAAATACACTTACCGACTCTTGTGCCATGTCATTTATATATATAGCTTTACCTTTTTTAAATCAACCAAGGGTTTATATATGGTTGGTTGATCATCGTTTACCAACACGAAAAAAAAGCACAAAAGAGTGAAAAAGAAATTAATTATAATTTATTTAATTTATATTACATGGTAATTTATCGAGTAAACTGTTTGAGAACCCCGTAATATTTTGTTTAACAGTATGAGTTTCATAAAAAATATGAAAAGGAATATTGGTTCTTATATATAATATAAAAGCTTAGACATAAAATTATTTAAATTTACCTAATTTTGAGTAAAATAACAAATCTCTTGATTTTCTTTTAAGGACTTTTGAAAAAAAAAAACACATATTCAAAACAATGTCGTATAATTTTACAAAAAGAACCACCTCTAACCATCATCAGGACTCCGGAGTGGTTTTTTAACTTGAAAATACACTGTTTTGAACGAAACTTGACCATGTATCTGCTTTTTATTTCCATATATTATACTAAAATAAAAATAATGAACTTTACGTTTTTTTACAAATTTGCCATTCCCACATTCATTCAATTATTGCCCATCACCTACAAATTCCACAACAAATATATATGTTATGATTCTCTCTTCCACACACAAATAGAAGTTCTAAAAAGATGTTTCAACAAGCTCTCTGGCTTTCATGCCTCATCTCCCCTTTCTTCTTCCACCTATCGTTATCTGCCATAGACTCCTTCATCTATGGTGGATGCTCACAGCCACGGTTCACCCCTGGCTCACCCTACGAGTCCAATGTCAACTCCATGCTCACTTCCTTAGTCAACTCCGCTTCTTTCTCTAACTTCAACAACTTCAAAATCTCCGTTCCGGGGTCCACCCAGTCTGACATTGTCTACGGTCTGTTTCAGTGCCGTGGTGACCTCAGCACCACGGACTGTAGAGACTGTGTGGCCCACGCCGTCAGTCGACTCGGGGTCATCTGCCCCGCCCCGGGTCGACTGGAGGGGCCATGCAACTAGATGGATGCTTTGTAAAATACGACGGCACATCTTTCTTAGGGGTTGAGGACAAAATGGAAGTGTTCAAGAAGTGTGGATCTTCAATAGGTTACAATTCAGATATTTTGACACGTAGAGATGTTGTGTTGGCTTACATGGCTGCGGATAACGGGCAATATTTTCGTGTGGGTGGGTCCGGGAGTGTGCAGGGTGTGGCGCAGTGTGTACAAGATTTGAGTTTGAGTGAGTGTCAAGATTGTCTTGAAGAAGCGGGTGGGCGGGTGAAATCGGAGTGTGGGGCATCTGCTTGGGGTGATGTGTACTTGGGGAAGTGCTATGTGCGGTATTCCGAACGTGGGTTCCACTCGAGAAGTGGTAAGCGGTTGCTCCACCACTTCCACCACCGTAGATGGTGGTTTGTGGTGGCTGTATTATTGTTCTTACTCACAGTATAACACTTCTTGAAAAAAAGTTTTATGTGTATGCATGGAAGCTTATGCTACTTAATGTATCCTTTTATTTACTTACTTACCCTCTAATCATATTCTCGTCTTACTTTTTGATTTTGAAATTGACAAATAAATTATTTTACCATTTTAATTAATATCCTATACTAAAATTTTTAAATCCACTTATTTAACTTTCATATTGCAAAATCAATATTAATTCAAGAACATATGGACCTACCGACCTAATTATATAATTAAATCGGTACAAGTAGCACCCCATCTTTTATTTATTTTTATTATAAGTGTTTGTTTTTTCTCACTGCTTATTTCAATCTAATCTGATATAATTATGCCAATTGCCAAAGCACTTTTCTTAAAGTGAAAAATTCTAAACAAAAGGCATGTATTTGAAGATAGTTATGAACTTAACAAAGATTCAAGATGAATATATATAAATTAATTAAGCTAAAAGGGATATGCATATATTTATTCAAAGTTATACTATGCAGCTGATGACGATGGTGACATGGATAAAACATTGGCGATAATCATTGGAATCATAGCTGGTGTGGCAGTGATTATTGTTTTTCTATCTTTCTTAACCAGAATTTGTGACAGAAAAGGTACTTACATAATTTCTTCGAGTCTCGAGTCTTCCATTATATTCTTTATTAATGATTAATTTGTCTAAAGTAAAGTCAAAACGAAACACTTGTTGCCTTTTTCTTTTCTATTTACGAAAAGTGTACCTTCGGTCGTCTTTGACAACAATACTTTCTTTTCTATGTATGCAGAAGGCAAGTAAAAAAGCTACATGGATGAACACATATGCCCTTTATCAAGGACATCATTGAAGCTGTATATGGTATCATCAAGATCAAGTTGCTTAGCTTTTTCATCTTTCTTTTATGAGGTTCTTTCATGGTATTGGTGGACAATATATGTGATATAAAGATACACATTGAAGCAAGTGAAAGGCGAGTTGAAATAAGAACAAAGTGAAAAGACTCTTATGTACAAAGATGCCCTAATGGATTGCTTTCACTCCCATTTATACCCATCCTTTTCTAATATTACAAAAGCAATTACTTTTGTTGTAAGAGCATGCTAGGTTTTCAAGCTTGCACATCACATTTCTTACTTTTGGAGCAATATTGTGATTTATCTCTCATGTTAGTCTTTACACTAGTTGGTGGAAGACATTTTCCCTTTTTAGTTGATCGGCTGTATTTGTTCGGATGATGGAGAGGTTTTAGAATAATTTAAAAGTTTATAAGCTCGAACATACACACTTGAAGAATGCAACATGATGTAGAAAGATGTCACACAACATGTTAACAACCTAAAATGCATGAGCTTTTGTCATTGTCATGCATGTGATTCAATTTCTAACATGTTTTCGATCGCTAATTATTTTGTCAACGTTTGTATGTCACAGGATCGATGTGACGATCTTAGATGATATCACAATCTTGATCAATTTATTCGGGGTCCAATTAAACATACTTCACTATGTTTTTTTATATAATCTTTATGTCTAATCATTTACATATAATCTATTCATCATCATATCATGAGCTTAATATTTTATTAAAATTGTAGGTAAGGTTCATCTATTAATTAAGGAGGCAGTGAAAATAGAATTGCCCTGTTATTGGCGTACACCAAGCTAAGGGGGGTGGATCTATAGTTTCATTAGTGTTTCTATTCATCCATTTAAGATAAAAGTGATTGGACTTTTGTATACTTTTATTATGACTTTTTTTCTTCGATTAAAAAAAAATCATTTTTATTTTTTAAGTAAAATGAATCATAAACACAGATAAAAAAAATGATGTACCTTATCAATTTTATATTAATATTCTAAAATCTACAAAAGATTATTAATGCAAGTTTTCTTTTTTGGAAAGTTTTTAATCCAAATGTTTCTTTTTTACGCAATAATAAATAAATATTATGTAATATTGCTAACTTGAATCTTGGTTATAGTCTTATAGATAATCCAAATAGTTACAAGATTTTATTATTATTATTATTATTATTATTATTATTATTATTTAAAATAGGGTGAAAGCCCCCCATGATTCTACAAGGACAACGAAAATGATATTCAGGCGTAAATATATGATCTTATTTTTGAATTGCACATAAACACAACATTACTTAACTCTACACCGGCTTCTAACCCATGTATCGCTCATGTATCATTGGGTTCAAGTTTTATCGTTGACATAAATGAATTAAATATTAGTTTATAAGTAATTAGATTTGTCGGTTTAAAAAAAAAAAACTCAGTCTACAAACTATATATATATATATATATATATATATATATATATATATTATATATATATATATATATATATATATATATATATATATATATATAAAAAGAAATTCAAATTTAACTGGTCATTATGGTGCTACTTCACGATGAATTATTTTGTTTTCTTGTTTTAGTTAAAGTGTTAAAAGGCAACTTTAATAAAGATTCTTATGCTTTTCTTTCTTATTGTAAATGAATCTTTCTAGGTCCATCATTCTTTTTATCCGTCTCTTTTTCCTCATCATTTAATAAAATAACCATGCATATACCCTCTTTATTAATCATTGTGGGGTAAGATGTCACTGAAACTATGATAGAGATGGAGATATAAAATCAACCTAGTATCATCTTTCAATTCGACTACTCTTTAATTCTTGAATAAAATGTATACTCATTCATATATTTGTGCTTGTTTCAAGAAACTAAAAAGGAAAGACACAAACATGTCCCAAATGGTGAACGATAAGGGTAACCGTACAGAACAATGAGCTTTATTACAGATATGGTAGACAATATTGATCTTGAAGATATCTTAAATAATTTTACATCTTAAAAAGTTAGAAGACGCATTTTTATATTTTAATATATAGATTTTTATAATAAAAAATGTTATATTTAGAAGATACTATAAATAATTTTCTTTTAATTATTGAGTTGATATAAAAAATTAATAAAATTTGTGTATTTTAAGAGTTTTTTTTATTGAGTTGATATAAAAAATTAATAAAATTTGTGTATTTTAAGAGTTTTTTTTTTGCTTTATTGTCGAGACCCAAAATATATTTGGAATGACCTTGAAAATTGGATCCTCACAAATGAGTTGCAGCCTATACATAAATGAAATTTGATTGCTTATTTTTTCAGTATCATCAATTTTTACTTGTCATTTCAATTTTTTATAACTAATAATATTGTATGAAAACAATGGTCTGCTTTCGTCTAGGGAAGGATCACATAATGCAATGATGCAAAGAAGATTAGGAAAGATGATCATCTTCTAAAATCTTTTAAATATCTGGTTTTTATCTCATTTGCCATTAGACTAATTAGACATGATTAAGAAAAGAAAAGAGTGAAGATATTATAATAAGGATAATCTTAATCATCCACTATGCAATCTTCTTCTAGAAACAAAACTATGGGTCGAGCATATAGATTATTTGACATAAATATTTACTCACAACTGAGAAAAGATATCCAACTTAAAACGACTTAACTTTTGATTCGTAAAGAATTTTGAAGGCGTGCGATACATTGACAAGCAAGAGTTTCAAGTCACTGCACTAGCCCCCAAATTACGTTGTTTAGGCCTCCAAATTTCGATTTACCCTAATTTTATTCTATTTCCGTGATTTTCAACTTTCGTTTTAATGACATAATATGTCATTTTTTGGATTTTGGAAATTCTC